TTTTAAGACATGTGAAGTTCGCCAAAACGCATTGAGGCAGCGCGGTGGACAAATGTCCCCCGGGCAGGCACCCCCATATATTCATCCACTGACAAATTTCCTTTCCTTAAGACCCTGTTAGAAATAATAGGAAACCTGTGTCCAGGAGTGGGACGTGGTCTATATGCGTTCCTTTAATTTACAGACTATCTAAAAGTTATAATATAATTTGATAAGTCAGAACATAAAATCTTTTTCTCTTCATTTTATTATTTAAAAAAACATATTGTTTTATCCTAAGAACACACCTAACGTCGAATTAAAACAGAAGATATTAAATCTAGCGTAAATAAACTCTAAACTTTGTACTTTTCTTACACCTGACGTGTTTATTAACGGAAGTTTATTATTTATTTAGTCTTTATATTTGCTAAATGTCAGGTAAATCTGGCAACCATCGGAATATAGCTCAGTAATCATTTAAAAAATGATGTTTCCTTTGTAATTGTCTCCTCGAATTTCAATACAGTATTAGCAAGCTTATCCGAATACTCTTAATAATTTAATCACAAACCAAATTAAAGGCTGTAGTCTGCTAGCAGCGCCGTAGCTACTTTATATAATTAAAATATTTTTGTTAACGGCTTTTTCTTTGTAATAGTCCTATTGAGCACCATCTGAACTTTTATTTTAACCTACCTATATTTTAATGTTAATTACTTGACGTTGCTAGAAATTTAAAGTAATCTAAGAGTAAAAATAGAAAATGACAGAAATATCAGTAAGTCACGTTAATAAAAAAACTTGTATCATTATTTACATAACCTTTTTTATTTGTAATTAACATGCAAACAAAGATAGTATGTGAGTTTAAATAAATATATTTTTGTATATAGATTTGGTCATATCAAATCATCTGTTAATTAAACAAAGGTATTACGTAAAGTGTGGTGTATAATATTTTGTAATAATAAATTCTTTGAATCCCTTCTAAGTTTCTCTTGAACATAAATCCTAAGAGATGAGGGTTCTCGACTACAACAATATCTGGATGAGCCAATTAATTTCGATCTGGGACTCTACCCTTAATCTGATGGTCACTCACGCCCAAAACTTGTAATTGAATTTCAGTTAAGGAATATTCACTAACTTGCTCATCTCTGACATTACGATATTACGATGCAGTGATTCATGGAACACTATGGAGAATATTACGTTAGGAACTTGTACGGTAAATAGTTAACAATTCCGATTGAGGTACAACTTTATTTGATTACCTTATCCGCAACCAGAAAAATTATTACGTCGTTCACATATTGATACACAGGGAGGTAACCATTGTGTATATAGTCTAAACGAAGTGACAAACGAATACAGAAAAAAATGCATGTACACAAACTGTTTCAAGGTAATTTTTGTAGCGTAGTGAAATATAAAAAGATTGGTACACCATTGGTATCAAATTGGGCTTTACGTAGACGCTTTTCCAACCGATCACGTCTATCCTTTATGCGAAATCGATTCGAACATTTTATGTGACATTTCCGACGAATTTAATAGCCGAGGAGACGACTGGACGCGAAGCAATAAACGCGAATAAGTATTTTTACACATAACTCTTAATGTATATTTGCAACTAATCGTAGGCTACATCATTCTTCGTCTTTATTCGAATTGGGTGTTTAATTATGTGCACAAATTTATATAATTCGCATTAAAAATTACGTTCATATTTTATTTTCATACAACTTATCAAAAGCATATATATTTTATTTATATTTATAATCAAATTCACTAACGTATAAAAATCCGTTTTTCCATTACTCTAAATTGAAGTATGCTTTCTTACTTTAATGGCATTGTTTCCCTACTAAAGAGTAGGGCTACAATATTTCAATCCAATAAAATGGGTAGTTTCATAAATAATGCAATAAGTTGTAACAGGTAAGTGGCACTCACGCATTACAGCCGCCATGGGGGCCGGGATAATCTGCTCTCTCTATTTGTCATGATGAGATCGTATAATGTTTTATTTCACAGTGATATTACATGTTAAATCTGATCATATAGTTCCATTAATAATATTAACTTTCAGTCAAAAATTTCAATTAAAGCCTTAGAAAATAATTTATTTAAGACAAAAGACCAAACAAGAGGAGTAATAAAAAGAAAAATCATTTAAATGCCAAATTACAAAAATTGGCATTTAAATAGTTATTTTTCTTGTGCAAATATAACATCAGCCAAAATTTTTCTCACGTTGCCAGTTGTGAGCTATGCTTAAAGTTTTAATTTAATTAAGTTTTAAGTTGTTTTAAGTTAGCATATCGTGAAGTTATTTCAAGAAAAATAGAAAAATATGTACCGTACAAAAACCAAACAACAACAATGTAACAAGCAGAAAAACAAACAAGAAGACAGACATAAAAGCGTGTCAGTAAGGAAGTATTAAAATATTATGCCCATCTTTCTTTGAGATTTATGAGAAGGATACGTTTACTTTAATAATTTCACTGTCCATCAATCTTTCCATTTATGAATTGATTCTTTGTCGCTTTTTGTTAAATACGCTTGACTTAAATTTTTTGATTGATTGAGACATTATTAAAGTCAATGAAATAAAATTTATTTTGACGAACGAAAGATTGTGTCTTGTCGTCACGACGAGGAAATTAGAATTCACTTTATTACGAAGACAAGGTAATAACTGAAGACGGTAGCGATCGTCGAATAGTAAAATAGACACTAAACCTTAATGATAAGTTGGAAAGGTCAAGTCAGACGAAGTCAATGCTCCATCGCTCTATTGCTCTAATCCAAAGGCCTGAAAGTTTTCAGTTCGTAATACCAATTCGTTTCAGTACCTATAATATTGCAATACAGTGGAGAGCTAAGTTTCGCAAGACCGGAGGTATAACAGCGTACAGAAAAACAGTACATAAAGTCCTTCAGAAAAAGTTTAATCCAGTCATCAACGGTGACGCTATTCTGGAGATGTGTAGCATAAATATTAATGAAAACAATTTTAATGCAATCAAAAAACAAATACATTGGGTAGAAGTGAAAAAAAATGCGATCGTCTCGCTCCCAGGCTTTACGATTTCCAAGCAACCAAAAAAGCTGCTTTAAGCTTGATTTATATATTACACTATAACTCAATACTTTAGTACCATAAACCACATACAGTCACTTCAGCAGATTGTATAGAAGACCGAAGAGTACAATCTTTCTCTTTTTTTGCTTATATGGACTATGAGAAAGCCTTCGATTCTGTCAAAAGTTGGACGTTGCTATAGTCTTTTCAGCAGTATCAAGGTAGCTAACGAAGTGCTAAACTGTGTATCAGTAAGGCTTCGATAACTATCTGTGTATAGAACCAGAGTATGAAACCTATCCAAATGCAGCTCTCTGCACCGTGTAAGACAAGGTGTCGTTATACATCCGATACTGTTCACCGCTGCATAAGAAGACGTTTATAAGCTACTGGACTAGGTTAATCATTTACTACAATTTGTCGACGATATTATGATTATGCAATATACGCTGGAAGACTAGAAATACGCTCCATGATATCAGTTGTGTCTTTAACGGATAGATCTTAAGTTGAACATGGAGAAGAAAAATGATATATATATATATATATAAGCGACAGTAACCTGACGTAGTGTGGTCCACATATAAGCGATCTACTCCCAACACTAAGTATTTTAAGTTTACCTAGAGTAGTTAACGGGAATATTAGTAATGTTAATAGCAGCATTGCTATTTTGAAATAAAAAAGCTCTAAATTTTTCACGAGCAAACATTTTGTTAAGTTAAACGTATGTAGGGTCAATCGAAGAATCCGGCTTGGTTAAACAGAGAGAGATCACAACACATTCTCTCATCATGTAGTCAAAACTTGTAAACAAGAGCTTACAAACAGTCTGTAATGACATATGGATTTGCGACAGGATTGTTCTTAGAGTTTCTCTGCGTGATAGAATTCTTATTGAGTATATCCGTATTAGAACCAAAGTAACTAGCATAGCCCAATGGATATGTCATAATTTTAATTTAAATGAAACGAAGTAAACTGTTCTTTTCTTCTGATCTTTTAAGTAATCAGCTAATCGACTGGTCCACTGAATAGTAAGAGCATACGGAACCTAAAATTTAAGTTTGAGAGGTCACGTCTAATGAAGTAAACACTCCATTCCTCATACACTAAACTAAGGTCCCGTTAATTTTGTCTATCTGTCTTACGATGATATGCGGTAGTAGGTTGTCTTACGCCGCTACTTTACGGTACAAAACAAAAATACACAGTATTAATTTATGTGATAATATAAAAATAAAATATGGATCGTTCAAATTGTCGCTATTTCTGGGCTGAAAACTTTGTGCTTTTAATTATATACTTGATTGTAAAAGCGTGGGGCGCACAGTCACGAAGTGGCAGGTGACATAGGCGAAAAGCGCATTCTGGGGCTGACACCAATAACTCCAGCATCGTCAGTCGATCTGGGTAGTATATTTGAAAGTTTTTCAGTTATCTCACATATATCCTGAGCAAAACGAACAGCTTGGCCACAAAATGCATATTAATTTAATGACTTCGACGAAGGGAATTTTTCTTGATAGTAATCTTTGCTTGACTTGCTATAAATCTGCGGTTACTTCTGGAATCGGACCTGGATCGAGATTGTTCCAGAATGCTGGTGATGGTGGTAAGTTCTTCTTTGTACTCACATGTTTATCAACATTAATTTTGTGTAATCGTTGCACGATTACACAAAATTAACGTTGATTTCTGCTTCAGTTCGTCAGGTAAATATGTTGCATTTGCCATCAAAATTATCCATCGTGAGACTTAATGCTGATAGCATCGCTTTGTGAAAATTTCACACACTTTGTCACTAAACACATAATTATTTTTCTCAAAAGTACTAGCTCACGTAAGTGCCACAACCGTATATTACGCTCTTTTTCCGTTTCCAAAGCCCTTGTTTGAGTGATGTGTTCTTGCAAATATTGAAGTCTCACGGTCCGTTCTTCTTCTGACTATGAAGATCTTTTTTGAGAGTCATATTCACGCAAGTACTGAAGACGGCCCTCTCGCTCTTGTGATTGTGTGATCGCTCTTCTTGAGATTGAGATGCGTGAACTTGAGATTCGTATTGTCTTAAACTTTCTAAACGTGTTTTCCGTTGCTCTGGTCTCTCTAGCTCTATATTGTTACATATACATTTTTCATTGGTGTTTTTTGGAGTTGGAGGTTTTTGTTCACGCTTTTCCTTTTTTGTATTCTCCGTTTTCTTTGTGCTGCTGTTTCTTTTTTGTAGTTTTTTCCACATTATTCCCAGGAGTAGTGAACAATTAAACGGTCAATCTCCCCAGAGGTCCGTGTAGAGGGACAAGACTTTTTACAACAGGATTTCGCCCGGTGCCCTGAAGTGACGCTAGTGACATGATATTATTAACACGAAATGATATTTATTAACCACTCTCATGCCATTCAGCCCTCGGCACGTTTCTCACCTTGGCTTGAACGGGATATTTAACAACCTACTACCCTATTTACACGTCAATATACGTCGTATATAGATATATCAATATTATTCTATTACACTCTCCATTTACAGGTCTATATACATTTTATACAGGCACCTATGTCAATATTTACACGATTCAATATATAAAAGGTGTGTTATAACCTTGAAACCTGATCGTGTTCAAAGTCCATTACGTAGCTTTTTTCACAAGTGCAAACAGGACTATGATACGATATTCCATGATGGAATGCCAGTGCCTATCTTCCGGCTTCATCATCAGACCTTGAAACCTAATTGTGGTCAAAGTTCATTACAAGACTTTTGTAAGAAACCCAAAACAGCTATGATACGATTTTCCATCATGAAATTCCAGTTCATATCTTCCGGCTCCATCATCAGATCCGTTCGTCAGTACCATATTATTGTATTGTCATCAGAACTATATACATTAGCCAATTTTCATTACGCTACGACATAGTTAGTTACATACAGGTCGACCTAATAAAAGAGTGTTTAAATCTATCAAAATATGTTAAGAAAAGACAGAAAACAGTGTCAAAATTTAACACAGAATGATTTAATAATTCTCTATTCCTTTTACTAATTTTCTATATTTTCAAAAAAAAAAAATACAAAAATCTATTGGCGTAATTTGAGTACTTGAAAATTACTGATATAGTTAATCATCAGTGTAAAAGTATGAATTAAAATATTTAATATTACAAAAAACTCTCTTTTGAAAACAGAAATATACCTTACATGTTTACACTTGGTCAACATTTGATACTTCTACTTAGAAATTTCCAAAGGGCGATTGAAATCGATACTGAGATTCTATCAATCTAATAAATTATTAACGGCGACGCGTACTGTCCTGTGTCGCGTAACTGTTATGCCGCTACTGTGGAATTCTCCAGAGTCCCGAATATCTTCCAAAATAGATAAGCTTGTAATATATGCATTACCTCGGTATTAATAACCTTACTCTATTATTTATTAAATTATTAGTTTATTAAACTATTATTGTTTAACAATGGTTATTGTAATATGGAATAGTAACAACACATAATTAAAACACAGAAATATTGTGAATTGGTCTTATTAAAATAAAATTAAAACAATAACTTGTATCTCTATCCGAGGGCTGCTCAATTTCTACTTCCCAGTCCTCTTTAGTAAACCAACTTAAAACTATTACTTGTAAACAAGAATTCTTACCAAGTATCCAAAGAGGAATTATCCTTTGGATACTTGGTGAGAATTAATTATAGTAATAGCTTGCAGAGAATGCCTTTTAGGCATTGAGTTAGCCTTTATACCATTTTTTTTTGATTACAATAAAGCATTTTCTATCTATCTATAGTTATAGTAAGTCATAGCTCGAAAACTACGTCGACTGAGCTTCAACTCTGCGAAATCATTGTTCCATTTTTCTAAAATTGCCAGAAATTAAGTTATCAGTGACAAACATGAGTTATAATATATTTTTCAATCGAAAAACTATTTGACCATTTTCTGCTATCTACTAATATTTACGGATTTTATCGCGTTTAATTAACTATTTAAGTTATTTTTAATTCCTGACGTTTCGGGCGCTTTACAGCACGTATGGTCACGGGGGGGGGGGTACTGAGATGTTTGACGTCCTAATGTCATAGTTTTTTAAAAGAATTGAAAAATATTATTGTGATGTATGTGAAAAGTCTTTGGGAATGAATGGAGGTCCATATATCATCAACTCGATAGTTGCCCGACAAAAATTAAAAAAATAAACATATTAATAGCCTTTTGATAAATCAGTCGAACTATTATTTTTTTTACATTACATATACTAAGGTATCTACCAAAAGCGCAACGCAAAAAATTAACGAGTATTGGGACACCCATATGGTCGATTGAACAGTTTATCTGCGACTATTTAGTTGTGCACTAGAGAAGTTGTTCGCTTTACCTTTTTCATGTTTTTATTATGCTTTGTAGAGCAAAGGACAAGTAAATACTTTCTTACTTACCATGCGAGTTGTAACTAATTTAAATTATTAACTTTATCCCAGCCAAATGTACCGGTAATCCTAATCGAGTGCTACAACACGGCCGGCCATTAGATGAAAATAAAGAAAAATAGAAAACCAATAACAGTTTATTAGTCATGAAATAATCACGAGCACATAATTAGACTGAACACTTTGATCGATTTAACAATTGTATGTTTGCGGATGGTCTAAAGCTTATCTAACTTATTGTGACTAAAGTTCGAAATGAGCCCTTTGTTCAGCTGTGGGATGTACAATCTAAGTTGTGTAACTTTATCTTGCTTTTAACTTATTGTCGTAATATTTATTCTTCTATTATTTTTACTCAATCGTTCAACTTAATATAAATGCACTAAATTATATCACTTACGATGATTATGTCGAACAAATATGGTTGAATCCTTAATTTAGTAATATCCGTGTACGTTACTTTCCAAACATCTAAAGTGACATTAATGTGTTTCGAATCATATTACATAATATAAAATCAACATTTACAAAACACTATCTACTTCAACATCCTATTCAAATTTTATTGAGAGACTTTATTAATTCAGAACACTTATTATTGGGCGAGTTAACTGTTTAATGTTATTTAACTTAGTTGGTATTATCCTATGTGCCGATACGTAATTTAGTGGAAAAGGTTGCGACCCCGCTAGTTTGTATTACCCCGACAGTGATATAGGGTATTAAGTTCCCTTCCCTGCCTCCCTTAACGCGTAAACAAGACAGAACCTTTCTACGTATCGCCCTCACAAAGGTTAATAATTTAAGTGACTAAGCGTGAGAGCTTTCTGTCTATTTTGTGCTCCAACTAAAATTGTTTTTACCAATTGTTGATTTTTATTGCTTGTTGTGCACAAAAAAAGATATAAAATTGAGCGTGAATCGATATTATAGAAAAATAATGTTCTTTTTTTATAGAATAAATGTGACTAACTAGCTTACAGTTCCAATGTTGGTAAGTGATGCCTGGGGCCCATAGAATTCTAAAAATCGAACTTAAAAATTTCGATTTTTTTTTTTATAGTAAAAGGGTGGCAAGCGAGCACCCAGTCCACCCGACGTTAAGTGTTTGCTGTGGCTCATAGACATCTACATTTATCCTCGATTAAGAATCAAGATGCGGATGCGTTGTCACCCCTGAGGGCTAAGATGGAATGCCTCGTTTCCAGTAGAAAGGGTCTCCGGTGCTCTACATACACTACACAAAACACAGCAGCATTGAGCTGCTATTTTACGCTTGTATCCTGTGATAGCGTAGTCCTGCAGCATAGCTCTACCACGTTCAAAGATGTAATGTTTGTTAAAATTAATATATTCAGCCCATTGCTGAGCAAAAGTTTACTTCATAGACTGTCACAAAATATGGCTCTGGGACGCCTGCCTTCTTGAAATATTATAATATTCATTTATTTCATTAACTGTGTAGTATCTCCCCTTTTCCTTTCATGGCCACAACTGTATGAAATTTCACTGAGAAAAACGTAAATTTATATTATTATTAATATAAATTCAATTGTAACTGTTAATAATATTGACGAATTTGTGATATGAATTTTGAGTTCTTTCATTTTTCATTTTTATTTTCGGCTACGTATGTCCTACCTCATACATATTATGGTCATACATATATAAATAGTTTCTTATATTAACGTTAAAATTACCACTGTATAGAAAGGTATTTTACGGATTTTGTGTATACTTGTGTATTACTGTATATTACGGATTTTGTGGGAATTATTTTAATTTATATTCACGACAATTTGAGTATACTGCAGAACCCGCAGTCTCGAGAATAATGATATGATGTGTTATTCGACGTCCTTATGACATCCATACATATAAGACTTGAACGAATTAACCACTGGACCCGACATAAAACACAAATGTATGAAAACTCGTTCAACCAAGTGGAGAATAACCCACACAAAGATTTTATTACGTTAATATAAACATAGATACAAAATTCGTAGAACGTAACTCTATTTCTAGTGCTTGAACGTAGCCGATAAAATATATCGATGAACAATTTCTCATTCGTTCATCGATATATTTTATAATTTATACAGAAAATAAGCTAAGCTGAAAGACAAAGGAAATAAAGGGAGAATGAAGGTGAGGTAAGCTTAAAATATTTAAACTTAATTAAAATAAAAGAAGCAGGACATTGTTATGGACTTTTTATTCACTTATACATAGTTATTATAAACGTCAATTTTTTTTTGTAAAGTTTAAATTATTTAAATAGGTTTACTGACTTTTATTATTTATTTATTTATTTATTTAAGCTTTATTTGCACACATAAAAGAAATGTACAAAACGGCGGACTTAATGCCTAAAGGCATTCTCTACCAGTCTACCTTTGGTTTGTGCAGAGAATCTAGTGATGGGTGCAAAACTCATAATTAAAAAAAAATTAAAGGTTTAAGGAAAAAATACAAATTTATAATATAATGATAATAAACAATACACATACATATACATTTACATTACTACTTACATGCATACAATATTATTTTATATATATACACAAATAACCACAATAAATACATACACAATAAATAAATATGATATTTTTATACTATACATACTTGAGAATATAACAGTTTCTGAAGTTTTTAAATTTTTTATTATAATCCGAAACTACTACTGCTTCTTTAAGTAATATTCCCAGAGTAAACGTTTAAAGATAGGTTTAGTTTTTGCTTCTTTTATATTTCTGGGTAACATGTTCCAGAGTCTTACTGCATTTGAAGTGAAAG